TATCAACTTGAACATCTCTATTTGCCCTACTGGTGGGGAGACTGAGGGAAAGAGATTCTTACAAGGCTGTTAATTGGAGTGTCAAGGAGAAGAACATCATTTAGAGTATGCATACCGCCCATCAACTGAAACATATAGCAGATATTAGCATCCTTAAACAAAGTGAGTAATTACAAAAGTGCACATACCAGAAGATGAACATCTGACAGAACTGGTGCTATAATGGATCAAAATGTTGTCCGTCAGAATAACAGCTCCTGCACAACTCTGGACATCCAAAGTAGGAAAGAAGAAGAAAGATCAGAGAGATTGCTTATTGAATTCATCAGTTACCACTAGTATGTTAAATTGTTGTGAAAAAGGAAATATATGTTTCTTTGGAGTTAATTGTCCAAATAATAATTGAACTTATATTTGTGTCCTCAATTGCACTGAAGTTTAAAATGTCAAGTTAATTACCACTAGTATGTTAAATTGTTGTGAGAAAAAAAATATGTTTATTTGGAGTTAATTGTCTCGATGATCACTAAACTTATGTCCGTGTCTTTGGTTGCTTATTGAACTTTAAAATGTCAAGTTTTGGCCACTAAATTTATCAAATGTTGAACGTTACTCACTAGCATAATATCCGTTTCAAACTTCTAACGAAATTGGTGATGTGACGGAATGCACATGTGGCACTCCATCACTCCATTACGGCATTACCAATTTGTCAAGTAAGAAAGAGTCCTCCATCGCTCATTAAACTTTGGAAAGCGTTTTCGATTGTTCACTGTACTTTGGAAAATGACTTCAATTGTTCACTGAAACTTTGAGTTGGTCGAATTTTTGTCAGTAAACTTATAAAAGTGGCGTAGGCCTGTAGCTTTTGATTCGTCTCTTGCTTGTAGTGGCTTTGCAAATTTATGGTGTACCTATTCTCATTAACTCTGGGAACCCTCAGAATTTGTCGAAAAAATTTGCGCTACACCATCTTCTCACACTCCAATTTCCACAGGACCATCTTAGAATAGTACAACAGGCGTCCATGAACCAAGATTATAGTTCCAATGTGCACAAAACATGTTGCATGAGTGGAATCAAAAGATTTTATTATCAAGGAATATCCAATCTACACAAGAAAACTCCGTCGTATATATACTTCATGTTGGCACATCCTTTACAATTTACATGTATTTTGACTTACTCCGCGAAGTATAGACAAATTTGCATAAATACTAATATATCTATGAAATGTATGTCATTGTGGGTAGGTGAAAAAAAATCACTTTCCCATTTTGCCTTTGTACTTTTATTTTTTATCGACTATACCCTTTTCAATCTTCATAATTTACAATAATAACACTAATTCATGCATTAAGTTATTATTTTGACTTGTCTTATAATAACTAGT